GGCCGGGACACACACTTGTGAGAGGGGCCCGACAGAGTACTTAAGCTCAACCGGGCCCAGACGCGAGACATTGGGCGCTTCACGAACAGAGTCGCATGGGAACTTCAGGCGCACGTGCGGACAGATGGTGCTCAGGGAGCACGCACGGAGAGAGGAGCACACAGACCACGCACGGGCACGGAGCGGCGCGCATCAAAGCGCACCTGCGCGCAAAGGGGGGAGAGCCGCGAGGAAGCCGTGCGCACCAGCACGCACCCGGGCACGAGCAAGTGAGCTGCGGGGAGGGACCTCGCGCTAGAGAGAGAGAGCCGCGAGTAGGGGCCGCTCGCACCAGCGCACACTCGCGCCGGAGAGAGAGAGCCGCGGGTAGGGACCGCGCGCACTCGCGCCAGAGAGAGAGATCCGCGGGTAGGGACCGCGCACACCCGCTCGCACTCGCGCCAGAGGGAGAGATCCGCGGGTAGGGACCGCGCGCAACAGCGCGCACTCGCGCTAGAGAGAGGGCCGCGAGTAGGGACCGCGCGCACCAGCGCGCACTTGCGCCAGAGAGAGAGAGCCGCGGGTAGGGACCGCGCGCACCAGCGCACACTCGCGTTAGAGAGAGAGAGCCGCGGGTAGGGACTTCGAGCACCGACGCGCACTCGTGCTAGAGAGAGAGAGTCGCAGGTAGGGACTTCGCGCACCGACGCGCAGTCGCGCAAGGGGGAGAAAGAGTCGCGGAGTAACAGCGTGTAGCAGCGCGCAGTTGCGCAAGGAGGAGAGAGAGTTGCAGGGCTAGCGCACGCACGCTGTGCCTCTGTGCGGAACGGGGAGACTGCTCGCTGTCACGCGCGCATACCGCACACTTGTGGGGAGTAGCAGTAACGCTGCACGCAACTGCGCGTGCACTCGCCCACGCCCCGCTGCACGCACACGTGCAAGCAGAGAGCTTGCGGAATAGCATCGGGCTGTACGGCCGTATCTGCAGTGTGACGATACAGGGGGAGAGTGTGCGCTTTAACGGGCACACCCGATTACGAAGGAACACCGAAGGGGGGCTCGGTCGGGCGCACCATCAAGGCGGCTCGTTTGGGACACACCCGGCTGAAGGGCAGCGAACGACTACGCGCGTATTCACGAGCTGACGAGATCAGACGCAGACGCTATGCCATAGGGCGGACCTCGAGGAGGCTCCGCGCCATCACAGCGAGGGCGACGGTGCACCAGCGGGAACAAACTGGCGGGACTAGTGTGCTACAGCGCACACACTTTCCACACGGCAGACCAGAAAGGAGGGCAGCGGCGATAGCTACGTGTACTAGCGCACACCGCGCTCAGTCAGGATCCGATGCGCAGCCACACGCACGCCCACGCACACTTACGCGCACGGGGCCTCGTACACACGCGCTAAGGACTGCGCATCCATGGGGATCGAGAGGCACCGCGCTTCACTCTGTGAACCGAGTCTTTGGGCGCTGCCCGACGCTAGCCAAGATCGCACCTTTCCGGTGCAGTACGGGCAGCAGGTGTGATGACACCTTTGGATCCGGTATTGGATTCGAACGGACATTCGTCTGGCGGACGCTCACCGGATGAACCACTTACAGGGTAGACATTCGTCGAGTGGACATGTTGACCGGACGAATATTGACCGAGTGGGCATTTATCGGGCAAACACACTTGACCGGAACAGACAGTCCGAAGTGGCCACTTTCACCAAGCGGATGCATTTACCTAGCAGATACTTTCACCGGGCGGATACTTTGACCGAGCGAACACCTTTATCGAGAGGAGACATCTACCGGGCGGACATTTACCGGCCGGGTATTTTTCCGAGTAGCTACACTACCGAGTGGTCTTTTTACCTAGCGAATACATTTGCCTGGCGGATACATTTACCTAGCGGATACATTTACGAAGCGGATATTTTGACCGGGCAATCATTTTTACCGAGCGGATACCTTTTACCTAGGGGATACATTTATCGGGCGAACACTTTACCGGGGACACTTCACCGAACGGACACTATACCAAGAGGGCACTTCACCGGAGGAGCACCTTACCGTAGGCGAACTTTCCGAAGAGGCATTCTACCGGAAGTGCACCTTTTCCGAAGAGGTACGATACGAAGCGGGCCTTCCGAAGAGGTATGATCCGAACTGGGACTTCCGAAGAGGTATGATCTGAACTGGGCCTTCCGAAGAGGTACGATCTGAACTGGGCCTTCCGAAGAGGTATGATCTGAACTGGGCCTTCCGAAGAGGTACAATCTGAACTGGGCCTTCCGAAGAGGTACAATCCGAAGTGGGCCTTCCGAACAGGTACTATCCGAATCGAGCCTTTCTGAAGAGGGACGCCCGAACTAGGCTTAACGGAGCGATCCACCCTTGGCGGGGCGATTGCACGGGGGTATGGTCACCGTGGATTTGGAGTTCTGGCCTCGATGGGCGAGGGAGGCCACATCAGACACCGAGAGCTCGAGCATGGTCCCCTGGGATCGACGGGCGCGGTACAGCCGACACCCAATTGGGAGGAGGATTAGGCGACGGTTGTTGACTAGGTCTGTACGGACTCAGACAGACTTTCTAGACACAGGAGCGAGGTGTGCGGCTGAGGCCGGAACGAGTGTTTCCCATCCCATTGTTTTGGACTGAATGAAACTACTTCTATTATTTTTGCCAGACAGTGTTTCGTGATTTTCTTCCTGCATTGGTCACGGTCGGCTACGGTACTTGTATTTGTTGATGTGGACTGACATGTTTTGTGCAGGTTACAGGAGCCCCGACCGACCCTCCCGCAGGTGACAGACGCAGCGCGAGGCATAGGGTTCGGACGGCGTGCCGGCAGACCCCTTCTACCGGTCGACACCGTGCGTCAGCCCAAGGGAATGTGTGTCCAGCCCAAGGGAATGTGTGTCCAGCCCAAGGGAATGTGTGTCCAGCCGTGCGTCATTCTAACGCCCTGCCGGTGTCCATGCCCAAGGCTGCAATTGAGTTTCGAACCTGCAACCTCATACCACAATGCGCATTTCCAACCGGTGCTCTAACCACTGAACTATCTGAACACATTTGAATTAAACCACCAGTATGGTCGTAAATATAAAGCGATACCCCTTAGTGCCAGGCCTTAGCAGCTTTAGATGGCGCCCTTCTTTGGAGGGTGAAGAGGCACAGATTAGGGGATCTCACAGTTACTGGTCCCATGGTTTTCAGACAGTATCATTGGCTGTGTATGGGACGCTGGACCCGTTTTCCAGCAGGTGACGCTCCCCACCAATAGATGGAGCCTCTCCCCAGGTGTTAGTGGTGTCTGCTCCTATCACCATCACTAACACCGGTGGAGTCGGTTAAAAAAAAAAAAAAAAAAAAAAAAAAAAAAAAAAAAAAAAAAAAAAAAAAAAAAAAAAAAAAAAAAAAAAAAAAAAAAAAAAAGGGGGGGGGAAACAAAAAAAAAAAAAAAAAAAAAAAAAAAAAAAAAAAACAGTACATCCAGCTATCAGCCGTGGTCCCTTTTTGGAGGCCGCCCGCCGCCGATTCGATTTTTATCTACGGCACTGGGCCTCCGAAGATTTTGTAGGCGACGAGTTTTCTTTTCAGCAAGGCTGGGGCTGTGTACTGGCGGTTTCAACCACCAGTACATAGAGCTATCAGCCGTGGGCCATTTTCGGAGGCCGCCCTCCGCCGATTCAGTTTATCTACGGCGCTGGGCCTCCGAAACTTTCGTACGCGACAAGTTTTCTTTTCAGCAAGGCTGGGCCCGTGTACTGGCGGTTTAAACCGCTACACGAGCCCAAGTTGACGAAGCTACCTTTCAAGGCTCCCGAGCCTGCAACTGCGCCTTTTCAGAGTGGCCTGCTGCTTTTGCTACTGGCCCAGGCCCAAATCGAAATGGTGTTACTGCACATACCCGTGAGAGCACTACTTTTGTTTGTGTGAACTGGTGGTTTATCAGGGCACAGGCAGGCCTGCACGTCCCGGGAAAGGTTGGGCGCACTGATAATAATAAACACACCAGTACCTTTCCCTGCTTGAAAAACAAATATGCGCCGGTTAGTGTGGGTAACTTTTGACGGGTCGCGGATCAGATCAAGATGGTTGGCACCACCAGCCAAAATGAGGCCCGCACCGGCTCATTTTTTTTTTGGTGCGCAGCGCAGGGTGATTTTAGGCTCGGCATCTATAGTTGAGAAAGGTACTGGTGGCTTAAACCACCAGTACACGCCTCACATCGGCCGCGGGGGCCGTGTCAGAGGCTGAAAAGCGACGCCGGCCGCTGATTTCTTTGATTTGACGGCGTGCCGGCGCCGACTTTTTCCGGATAGGCGACGGGTTTCTTTTCAGCGAGGGTGGGGCCGTGTACTGGCGGTTTTAGCCCATTGAAATCCTATTTACCCCACCTCTCCCCCCCACACCTCCCTCTCTCCCCGCGCACTAACTGACCCACCGCAGTAACTGGAGCGTAAGGCTGGATGTACCCGCACTTGTCGTCTGACTTCTTTTTTGTGTGGTTATGTACCTGTACTCGTCATCTTACCTTTTCTGTCACAGATTGGAAGAAAGGCGGGATCACAAGTGAACGAATCTGCGATGATGGATTGATCAAACACGACGGTAAAAAAAAAAAAAAAAAAAAAGTGGTGTCGGTACATTCGTTGCTACCGCGATGGGAAAGGACGATTCCTCTTGCAAGCCAGGACTGCCACGGCTTCAATTTTTTGGGCAGTCTGCGAGCGAGCACAGCTTCGGCAGAGTGCGTGCGCAGCTTCGGCAAGGTCAATATAGCCTACTGGCTTGGTCCCAAGGCTTTTGGGGAGGTTGGGGGGAGGGTGGGGAGGTGTAGATTTTGGTAGATTGCGGGTGCGAGTGGTCATGTCTGTGGGCTATATATGATAGGGGTATTTTTTTTCTTTAGGTAATGCTCGGTTTTAGGTAAGCGGGTAGGGAAAGAGGGGAGGTTGGGGGTAGGGTGGGGAGGTGTAGAGGTGTATAGCTTTTGGTAGCTTGCGGGTGCGAGTGGTCATGTGCGTGGGCTATCTATGATAGGGGTAGTACTCTTTATGTCATGCTCGGTTCTAGGTTAGTGGGTAGGGAAAGAAAAAGGACAAAAAAGGTAAAGGTGGGAAGGGTGCAGCGAAGCGCACTTTGTGAAACGACCAGTACCGGTCACTCCTGGCTATCTCGCACGCATTCACCGGCAACAGGGCCCCGCCGAAAGGGGAAAGGGTTGGCCTACCAGACAGAAATTGCTCACAGCCCCCAATAGGCCTTGTCCCTGCAACGGGTGGGAACATGAGGGGGGGGGGTAAAATTGCGCTTTCGAAAAAAGAAGCTTGGAGGTACACTCGTCGCGGTTTAAGGGTGAACGTGGGACATGCGTCCCTTGGGGACAGTGTCAAAACTTAAAAGGGCACTCACACTAGCACTTCCCGGATGTATGTCACACTAGCACTTTCCCGGATGTATGTGACCACAACTGCGACCGCTCCTGGATGCGTCTGACCTCAATTATGTCCAGAGATCACTCAAAAAGACCCTGGTGTCAYTAYATATGCCCTTAATTGCCATAATATAACCGATTTTTTTTTTATTATTTTTTTTTTTTTGACAATATACCTCGAGATCAGTCAAAAATMCCCTGGKRAAAAAAAAAAAAAAAAAAAAAARA